AACATTTCAAAAACGCAAAATCCTCTCTGGTAGAGGACTCTCGAAACTGATATAATAGACGTTTCTCATGAAATTTTCACCATTACTATTGTTCAGAGTTTCGAATAATAATGTTCAATTATCTAGTTTCATCAAATAGTTCTCATATCTTTATATTCCGAATTGCGCTTCCTATTACATTGTAGTATAAAATTATCTTTAGCGTTTGTTCTATTCAGATTCTCGAGAGATGTAATAACTTCTATATGACTAAGAAACTACAATCGATATTTTCGATTATTACGTTTAATACTGTCTTCCGAATCTGTTCACTAATCAAGAAAAAATACTCCTTTTCTCCGATTATGTACTTGAATCTATCATAAAAAAAGAAACGATATTCTATTGTGTAATATTGATAATTGAATTGGAAAACATCTACAGAGACGAATTATGTTGCGTTTATTATCGCATTCTACACAGTCTATTTTCATACGTAATATGCTGATGAAATCAACAAAGATATAATAGATATATTTACCCATAGGCAAAATTGAAGCAGTAAGTAGGTCGAAGATAACATGGACATCATATGATCCACATTCTTTACGCTTATTTTTTAGTTTGCGTATTTCAGAGAATTTAATGAACGATAAATTGGCAAGCGACAGTATAATAATAGTACAACAACAAATCTGATATGCTCGCTTATTGGTTAGCCATATACGTGATTTAAGTGGATAACTAACAGCAACAGCTTTATCTCTATAAAAGGAAAATATTTATGTTATGTACTTGTATTTTCTTATAGATACAAAAACAAGTAAACAGAAAAGCTTACAAGCTCATTAAAACAACTATCCACATAGCAATTGAAATGCATGCATTCATTAATACATATAATGCTTTACAAAAAACTTCTCCATTTAATAAGAATATGTCATGACCTTTTTCAGTTGACAGATAATTGATTTCTGTTCGAATGTATTTAAGTATAATTGATAGCATATCAAAAAGTGCAAGAATACGTAAAAATATAATTGTAGTCGATTTATTTGATAATCTCGGCCGAGAAAGTATAAATAGACAAAATAAATTAAGTAATATTCCTGGTCCAATAAGTGCACGTACATATGTTGGTTCAATTGATTTAAAAACTGAAAAAGCAAGGTCATAAAGACGATCTTCCAATGGACATCTAAGTTTTAGTAATGATGACTTGTTATTTGTGGAATATTTTGATCTAAATGAAAATATTCATAAATCTATTCTGCAATAAAAATTGTTATAATGACAGAAAAAAAGTAAAAAATATGTATGAAATATTTTTCTTGTTTCTATGGTTTTTGTTTTGTGTGAAACATATTTGCATTAGCGAAAATAAAAACTAATAGACTTAAACAACTAGTTTGATTATGATTATTAATACTTTGTTTGTGTTTTTATTTGTTTTAAGTACAAAATATATTTGTTGTTTACATTTTATATTGAACATAGTTATCAATATCCTTATTTGGCTCTAAAGAGGAGTATAGACAAAAAAGAAATATTCTTTGTCTATGTGTATGTCATTAACTAGCTTTTGACTGTTTTGTTCTAATGAATAGCATAATGAAGCTATTGTCTCTACCACAGAAATCTTTGTTACGACAGTACTGATATAAGATTCTTAGTATATTTGTGAAGGCTATTATTATTATCAGTTACACTGTGATAATTATTCGATGTGTCGGCTTTCTTTCCTAATTATTCGTATTTAGATTAAACATCACAAAATTCATTATGTGAATGGTAGTTTTCTATGATACACTAATCTATATCCCTAACTATATTCTTGTACTTACTATAATTTAGTCAAGCATAAAATATTACTCATGAATTTCTTTTAATATGTAATTAGTTTTATTTCTTTTTTTTTCTGCATATTTATTTTTCTACAAATAAATAAAACATGAATATTTATAAAAGCAGTACTCACATGAAACCATGAACAGGCCAATACTTGTATAATCAAAAAAACCTTCTTCTTGTGACATTTTTCATATATATATATATTGCTTTTTCTCTCTCTTTCTTTCGTTTTTCTTTTGTATGTCCTTCGATTATGATAATTATATAGAACCGTAGAAATCGATCTTTCACGAAAAATAAGTACTACATTACATTATCATATAAATGACTGCATCTATTCATTAATTTAAGTTAATATGAATGTTGAAAACTGAATAGTAATTCTGACAATAAAAATAATAGTAGAAAAAACAAAACAGATATTTTTCTCTTTCCATCTCTTTCTATTTATGAATGAAGAAACTATATAGAACTATGTTCATATGGGGGAAAATAAAAAACAAATAAGAATAGAAATATTTATCTTTTTTGCATTCCTAAAAATATAAATTATTTTAGCATTTATTTTTGCAACAATAATTATAATAGGAACAACTTATGTAATTTAATATCGAACAAAAACCTTATTTTTTTTCATCAATTATTATCTTGATTTTCTTGATGGCATGAATAGGAACTCATAAGATAATAACTTTATCTCATAAATAGTTGTTCTTTTTCATTGATAACTCATTGTAATTCAACAGAGAAAATCAAGTTTTGATCATAGTAGATTAAATATTTAAACATATATTTAATCGTTTTATGAGCGAATTCAAATGTAATAACTTATATTTTTATATTTTACATACGAAATTTCATGAATTTATATTTCACATTTATAAAATACTAAATATCGTTTGCGGTTTTTTTCTATCAAATTAAAAATAAAATAAACCAATGTAATTTTATCTATGTGGTTGCACAGAATATAATATGAACTACTTTTCTTAATATTCCATTATTTCACATAAATGATGCAAAAATAGAAAATAACAAAATAGTATATTGCTTGATATCAACACTAATCAATTTTAATCGGTTCAGTAACTATGTCTATCAATGCGTATGTAGTTGTCTGAAAACTACATTTATTTTATCATGTTGATAAATGTTTTTCTCATACGTTTTGTTTTATAGGCAATGATTTCATAAAAGAAATATTTTAGTTTCATGCATCTGTTGTCTCATGATCTCATTGTTCAAAATTAGTCTTATGACAACTAGAGGAAACAAACATTCTTATAGCAAACATAAATCAAATATTATGCAAATAATTTTTGTATTTCATTTATCATGGAAAACAATTTTCAATAGAATCATTTTCCTTTTTTTTGTCTTATATAATCAAATTCAGCTGTTCTCTGATAGTTAAGAAAACAAAAAGAAACAGTAAATACCTGGACATAGATGCATCATCTGTTTGATGACTAAAAATAGATTGATTCAATTGCTCGACGTTCTCCATAACTTGAAGCTGTTGATATGGTGTTATGATTGAAAAATCTTACAATATAAATATAATCAATAGAATTTCTAGAATAGAGAGAGATAAATAAGGAACAAGAAGAAATTAATAGACAATCAGAATAGATAAGAGATTGGATCAGTTCAAGGAAGTTCCATCTATTCAAATGTATCATCAAGGATACAAGTAGCAAAATAATTCATGTACCAACTATAAACTATTCTAGTTATGATATATGATTTATATCTCAGTTAATAAATGTTTAAAGTAGTTTACATGGCTATAGTGTGTTTTCAAATTGAAACTGTCTATAGTGTTTAGTGTTAAAATAATTTGAAATTCGATTACAATTAAATATTATCAATATGACTGAAGTAAAAAACAGTATCTCATAAAAAGTTGAGACATCCTGCAAATAAATAATGTTGAACGTAGGTAAAAAAAATTAACGATCTAATATTTTTATTACTAGAATTACGTAAGTTGTTATTGTACTGACTGGCCAATTGTAAACAACTTACACTAAAATGTTTAACAGTCATTCTACATCTGTCGAGTAGAATTTTTTCTTTTATGAAAATAAATCATAATTACGCGCCATAATCCTCATGTTTTTCATAAATAATCATGTTTTCTTTTCTAGTTAGTTCAGTTTTTAAACAACTTCTTTGTCATCTATGTCTCGTGCCTCGTCTTTTGTGGCTCATGAGTGCAAGTTTTAAGTCGAGGTTTAGCGGCTCCCCCTACCTCTCTCCCATTAAAGACACTTAGAAACTGGAATACCCCCATTACAGAGATCAGCAATCGAGAATAACAAGCGTCAGATTTTCTAGAGTTTTTTTGTTTTGCAAGATCAAGCAAGTTGTAATTCTGAGAAATAGTCAACATCATTGCTTGTAAATTGATTAATTTTTAATAATGTGTAAAATTTGCCGTAGATATCACGGATATGTAAAATAGACTTATTTGACGATTAATTTAATTATTATAAGAATAAGAATGTTGAGTTAAAAAACCACAACTTAAAAAAATGAAAAATAATGAACGAATAGCAACAGTCCAAACAAAAGATAGAGCGTGCGAAGACTAAATAAACAATTTCTGTTCGAAATGTAGAAATTAGAAAGATTCTTACTCTGATGTTCGATTATCGTCAAAAGCAGCTGTAGTCTATGAGAGATAGAGACATGTGAATTCCACATTTTAGTCCCAAATAGGTTGCACTAACAAGCTTTTTAAAGATATAATATATCTAAAAATGGCCTATTTGTAGAGTTTTTATTAGAAAGTCGTTTTTTTTTAAACCATGTTCTTCCAGATGAAAAACATCCATTTGAGATAAAGCTTTCAGGATATAAGAGTCAGTCCATGTAAGCCACGACTGAACTTGCTCAACCGATGTCGTCAGATCTTGCTCAATTTAAGATATGTTGTAGAGAGAAGAGTTCTAAGAATTTTGGAACAAACCGTTTTAAAAAATATTGATCCCTCGATTTTTTATGAGCATTTTACGAAAAGCCCTAAAAATGACCCTATTGATCAAGGGGAGTACATTAATACAATGATATCTCACGAATAGCTGCATAGATTGAGCTGAAATTTTTTGCAGACATATATCCCAGTGAGTTCTGTTCACAATAAAATAATTTTTGTTTGAAAATATTGAGTCATTGGGATTTTATGAAGCACTCAATATATGGAAAAAAGTCATTTTTGGTAACCAAACAGAATGATATGGATAGTTGAAACTTTTACGGACGAGAGATCTTTTAAAGTTCTATTAATGGTAAAAATTAGGAACATCTATCTTCTTCTATTCGAAAGTTATGAAGCACCAAAGTTACCAAAAATGACCTTTTTTCCATATATTGAGTGCTTCATAAAATTCCAATGGCTCAATGTTTTCAAACAAAAATTATTTTATTGTGAACAGAACTCACTGGGATATATGTTTGCAAAAAATTTCAGCTCAATCTGTGCAGCTATTCGTGAGATATCATTGTATTAATGTACTCCCCTTGATGAATAGGGTCATTTTTAGGGCTTTTCGTAAAATGCTCATAAAAAATCGAGGGATTAATATTTTTTAAAACGACTTGCTCCAAAATTCTTAGAACTCTTCCCTCTACAACATATCTTAAATTAAGCAAGATCTGACGACCTCGATTGAGCAGGGTCTCTATGAGATCGGTCGTAGCTCATATGGACTGGCTCATAATCAATACCATTACATTTACTATTCGAAATAATTTCAGATGGAAACTCATGATTGCAATTTCTTTCATAATGCCCGGAAATATGCGGAAAGTTCAATAAAACGTCCATAACTCAAGCAGAAAAAGTTTGAGGACATGAATGTATTTAGGATTTTCATGTTAACTATGAATTTAAACAGAAGGTATCAGTTGAAGACATTATAACTTAAATAGACATGATACGCAAAAGAAAAGAACTGAAAAAAGAAACTAGAGCAAGTAATTAGAATTTATTTAAACTTTTGATTAACTACCTTAGGATACATAAAACTATCCAGAGAAAGTAATTAACAGTCAAATTTTATATTTCATAATTCACATATTCTCCAAGCTATCTCAAAGAATCTATCTTTATTATGCGCTCACCTTTTTTATACAATGTCAGACAGCTTTTCTCCATCTAATCTTACAGGGGTATTGAATATTAATGAAAAAAAACAGAAAAGATGCCTATGGTTACAATGAATTTATTGTCATGCTTTCATAGATGAACTAATTTATTCATTCTAGTCATGTTAATTTTGCCATTGAACGGTAGGCAGAAAAGGAAGTAGCTTTCCTGTAATATTGGTAACAAACAAATACGAGTATTGCTAGCTAAAGGTGTTCTCATGTTGTTTTGTTTATATAGACGGTTATAAACAATGAAAGTTATAATTACTCACAAGTACGTTAATGAAACTATAACTATTTATAGATCAATGCATCTGTGCAAAACTCCCGATAAAAATTAGAAAACAACAAATACAATTTTATCTCAAGCTGTGGAATATTTGACTTCTTGTTTCAGCCTATTTCATATAACGAGACATGCAAAATAATGAAGACGATTATCAATTGAACAAAATAATATACTTGTTGGACGTATAAGACAAAAAAACAATATTCAAAGTTCTCTTATCAATTAGAACAATTAGAATTGTTTTGAGATAATAGAAAGTGTTTCTTTTTCAAATAAGATTGACTAATAAATTATATAACCTGTATCAATGTCAACACAAATAAAAAAGAAATATTAAAAATTCAAATTTAATAGTCAATACCTGTAACAGTGAAAAGAGCATTTTGTAGTTTATATTTTGATAAGTTTATAAATTAATAGAGAACTTTTGTTATATAGAGCAACAGACCATTAAAGTCTAATATTCACTCTATGCAATACATCACGATATTTAAGGCTTGCAAAAATGAATCTCTATCAAAAGGTTAAATTAATTAGACGCAATTTGGGTCGATGAATATTTATTTTTTCATGTTTCTCAT